CCCCAAAACCCCAAAACCCCAAAACCCCAAAACCCCAAATCAGCAATTCGAAATATAATATAACAAATGGAAAATAACAATGATGGTAATTGAACTGACTTTAGCAAAAAGTTGAGTGAAGTTCCTTCTTGAGTGCTGCCGCCTCCTCAGAGCTATAGATATTTCCCTCCTCAGGAGGAAATAATTGTCACTTCAAAGAAATCAACCCAGAGAATTATCTTCAAGGGTGGACTCAAATTCTCTGTTAAGGAGAAAGAGGCTATTAACCAATTTAAGCAAATCAGTCAAGAAACTGGCTACTCCATAGATCCCTTCTTCGATGATACTGAGATTCTTAGGCTCTTGCAGGTCAGCAAGTTTGATATCAAGAATGCACACAAATTCATGGATACCTACCTAGGGTGGCGAGATGAGCATGTACCACCTAAACTTACTTCCTTGTGCGAAAAGCTTATTCATTCTGGGTTCCTGTATATTCATGGAAGAGATAAGAGATTTCGTCCTCTGATTGTTCTCAACCCAACAGCCTTGCTTGCTTTTAAGAGTATCTCTCAAGATGTACTAGGGACGGAGATCATCAAGTCTAGTATCTTCATTATTGAATATGTGCTCAAAAACATGTTTCTTCCTGGCCAAATCGAGAATTATATCGTGATAATTGACGTAAATAAATTGGGAGTTTCGGAAATTCCGAAGTCAATACTTTCAAAAATAATCGATTGTCTCAGCAAAGGTTATAGATACAGGACCAAACGAATGTATGTTCTTAATACTACATTCAGTATCAAGCTTGCTTGGAAGTTTATAGAATCATTCATGGCAGTTCATATGAAGAACAAAATGTTGATGACCGACAAAAATACCTCCCCTGAGTTACTTAAAGGGTTCCATCCGTCTCAGCTTGAGGAGAAATTTGGCGGCGAATCACCAAACCGGACCGAATTTTGGCCACCTTACATCCCTTCTGAAGAATTTGGTGAGCATGAAGAATGAATGGTATCAGAGACTCAGTACAAAGATATCTTGTCCCAAAATCAAGAATTGCAAAGAAGACCTGACCTTGAACATTCGAACAATTTAAGTTCTGACCATGAGCACAAAGAGAACAAAGGTAAGCACTATAAAATTTTCTAAAATTCTGACCTTTGTTAATTTTATTCATAGAGAACCAACATAATCTTATTGAGCCTAAAGAGTGCAAACCCGAATCTGAATCCATCCAAGGAAGGGAAGATAGCATCAAAAAGTTTTTCAGAGATCGGTATAAGGAAACCCTATCTGATGCTGACTCAGATGTACTGATGACAGCCGATCCCTGTATCGATGAGAAAAGCGTTGCGATGGAAGATTCCTTCTGCATGTCGAGTTATGAAAAAGATATTGTTAACATATTTCAAGGGAAAAGTAAGAATGTTTTTTATTTTTAAAACTCAGTTACATTGAACAATCACCAAATGAGCTGACTCATAAGCTAATTTTATCCTAATTATCTCTTTTCTAAGTTCAAATTTTTGAAATGTGAAATTTTGTAACTCTCATCAAACTAAATTCTACAATTATATACTTCTTTTATATTTTCTCAAAATCTTATTGAGATATTTAAAAGTTCTGCTTTCCTTAATAATAACTTAATCTAGAACACAAGAGGATTTCCAAAACAGAGAATGGGGACATAATTGTCTCAAAACCGACTCTTCAAGCTCATTCAGCTTACTCAAAACTTTCGACAAAAGAGGGTACTCTTCAGCTTCTAAAGGGAGAAATTGAGGAAAATATTATTGAAGACGAAGGTCCTCATTGACATAAGCTATCACCTATCCCCTCTTTTGAGAACAAAGGAAGGGAGTCTAATCTAATAAACAGACAGTCCTCCTTCCAAGTCAGAATGCCTTCTAAGAAGGAGCATGAAGACGCCTTCTTTCCTATCCAAGAAGAGGAGGAAGAGAAGGTCTATTATAAAGAGGTCAAAGTTCATGGCGTCATCAAGAGGAAATACGAATGGAACTTCGACTAATTTTATTAACACATTTTTCAATTATTTAAGAACATTTTGGGGTTTTGGGGTTTTGGGGTTTTGGGGTTTTGGGGTTTTGGGGTTTTGGGG